TGTTGACTTCAACACGTTTTAGTGGAAACTTCAGATTTGTCAACTCTAAAAAAATGTTCAGATTTCACCGTGTTGATCAAATAAGACAAAAGGGAAAAGAAAATCCAAAAATGTGTAGTGAGTTTGTTCCAGTACTTGACTCTTTCCCTCCTAAATAGGTTTTCATTTTGATTTCCATTTCCTTTTCACCCCTAAACTGTATAGGCTTTATGTCATAAAGGGGGTTCTTTGTGGGCATGACTTTACAGGAAGGACAAGTGAGTGGTTCAAACAACTGTTGACTGTTTTTTCTGTACACCAAGGAATACCTGGAAAAATAAAGGTAACAAACCCAGTGACTCCCTCCCTGAACATTAATCAGATGACATGAAGGATCTCAATGGGGTGGCTGCAGCTAAATGAGGGAAAAGTGGAGACAACAAAATTAATATGGCAGTATACTTCATTTCCAAAGTTTTGTCTCTAAGAGAAAAAAATGAAGCTGGTAAGGATTTGCTTGATAAAGTTTATAATTTAACTCCAGGCACTAATAGAAAAAGTTACACTGATCTTGGAAATAGTATCGTTCTAAATATATTTATATGTAAACTGTGTTCTACTTTCCACCTCTGACATATATTTGTGTGCATGTATTGTAGCATTCCATTAATCTCGAACTGTGGGAATATACTGGCCACTTTTGTTTTGTGGATGGGGCCAAAAGAGTGAAGAAAAAGCACTTTCTTCAGTTAAAAAATAAACCAAGTTCTTTCTTAAATAAGTCATGTTTCAGTCCTTACACAGTCTTCATCCCAGTAAATAATATTGGGAGAGATTCAAGAGTTGAATCAGCTGACATGCCCAAATTGCAGAGTGAAATGTAGAATCAAATCCCCACATCCCTAATTTATTCCTGTTGGAATGTCCGTTTTTTATAATTTCCCCACATAACCTGTATTTTTAGCTATTTGCCTTTAGAATGAGTAGCATCACTTTGGGGCTTTTGATTTGTCCTTTATGAATGTATATACACACATGGTTTTCAGGAATTCAGGTAGTAGATTTTGTTTTACTGCCAGACACGAAGGCACATTTTTTAGAATGAGGAAGGAATTTTGTGGCTCTTGGATATTTATTTAAAATTTCCTTCTCTAGAGGTAATTACTTAAATGGATTAGCTACTTCTGCAGGTATTTTTGGATAAATACAGGTAGTATGGGACCAAAATAGTATATTTTTCAGGGAAAAGATTGGGTTTTACTCAAGAAAAATGTATCCATTTAAATATTTCATGGAAATATGACAATGTTTTGTACATTCAGGCAATATCATAAATAGGATTACAGTAATGCATTTAGCCTTGACAAACACGAGGTCTATTTGTAAATCTTAAGAGCACTGCAGTGTTTAAAATATATTGGATATATGGTAAAGCAGAAGTTTAAGGTGAAAACAAAGCAGTACTGTTGTGTTGTGTTTCTTTTTTTAAATTGAATAAATCAACAGTTTATTTGTATGGATGAGAATTTGATTCAGAAAATGCTACCGCTAATGAACCAAAATAGAATTAAATCTTCATAAATAGAATATTCAGTTATTGCAGTTTTGGGAACCAGGTAGGGAAATGAGAAAAGGTAATTTGAAATTATTCAAAATAAGACTAACTAAGCAGGTTTCTAAGTGGTAACTGCTTTAAATAAATACAGAATTAGATTTCTTAGGTAAATGTGTAGCCTTTGTATTTTCTGAACTCAATGTCTATCTCTTTCTGGACACCTGGTCAGAACTTTGTTGCACAGTAGGTAAAGGATATTTTTGCAGGAAACTTCACAGAAGTGGATGTTGGGGCACCATTCCAGAAGGCAAATAATCCCTTTCATTTCCTACTTGCTGTGTCTATATAATCTTTCTATGACAGTTGAAGCCAACAATTATGTTGGTGTTCTTTATAAATAAAGCGATGAGGGCAACGTATAATATTTGTGTTCGAGATCAATGGAAGAAAACTAATTTGAGGCAAAAAAATCATTTCAGTGGAGAATTTTCTCATAGTGTGTTTGACAGGTCGTTAGGATCCAAAAAAGTAGAAACAATGATGTGTGTTTTAACTTGGTGAGAAATATCTTGGGGCATTTTCTTGCCTTTTTTTTTTCCTAATGAAGGTTAAGATAACTGTAATTATAGAGAAATAAGAGGTTTTATTTAAGTCACTGATTTTTTTTGCGTGTTACAAACCAGATTGCTCAGTGCCCTGTAGATCTGCAGTTAACAAATATGTGATATATGTGAGACACATATATATATATGTATGTGTATGTGTGTGTGTGTGTATTGGTATGTGAAATAGGAGTTTCTAAACAGAAGAGGACAAAATGAGTAGGATTCTGAGGCTTACAAGTAACAGAATTATGTCCCCTGGTTTTGACTCTATAGGTGGGAATAGCTCTGACCTCCAGGGAAAAGATACAGTCACAAAACTGAGTATTATTTGACTGATAACAGATATCAAATTTAGGTTTACTGGCTCAGAAAACCATCTCAGACTTTTTTTTATAGAGGCAATCCAAAGAGTTCTCTTAATAAACAATGGCTTTGGTCTGACTTGGTTCAGCAGAAGCCATTGAACAGAGCAGAGACAGAAAACCAGGATGCTTCAGATCTCTTTCAGTTAAAGAAACACCATAGGCAAAGGTTTTTGAAAATACCATAGTGGGCCTTATGTGCTCAAGATGAGAGCCATGGTAAAGGGGCATTTGTAAAGGTTTTATTCCAGTTTTTGACCTTAAGACAACTCTCCAGACTTACACAGCAGTATTCTGACACACCGTGCCCTGAGGAGAAGGGGGACACAGTGCATGTTGTCCTCTCATGGTTCTCACAGAATGGATTCAATTTTTTGGCAACCAGCAAATGAAACTCACCCTCATCTGTACATTTTATTTGCTGCCTAAACTCAGGGATGTCTCAGCCTGTGTGGGTACAGAGTCAGGGCAGCAGAGTCTGGAGGCACCCAGGAGGGCCAGGGAGGGGTCCCAGCCCCTCTGCCTGGGGCTGGGATGGAGGGAAGGCCCCAAGGCTCTCACCCTGGCATGGGGATGGAGGGAAGGCCCCAAGGCTCTCACCCTGGCACGCTTCATGCCCCCTTCACTGGCATTTAGAAAAACCAGGGCCCCCAAATGCCACGTTGCTTCTGTAGCTGAAGGAGGGTCAGAGTTCCAGCAGGATTTGAGGTTCATTGTGAAGGACTCTGTGAGGTTTTTTAGGGTGGCAAACACAGAACCACATAACCACAGAATATCCTGAATTGGAAGGGACCCACAAGGATCATCCAGTCCAACCCTCAGCCCTGCCCATCCCCAAGAGTCACCCCCTGTGCCCCAGAGGATCATCCAAACCCTCCTGGAGCTCTGGCAGCCTTGGGGCTGTGCCCACTGCCCTGGGGAGCCTGGTCAGTGCCCAACCACCCTCTGGGGGAAGAACCTTTGCCTGAGATCCAACCTAAAGCTCCCCTGACACAACTTCAGACCTTAAAAGGCACTAGAGGTTGTGAGGTTGTAATTCAGATATCCAGGAGGAGCCTGTTCATTTTTTAATGCTGTTGTTTAGTTCTCGACACAAATTGCAGGTGCCTAAAGCGTTTGCTTTGGGAAAAGGGCTTAGAAGTGCATATTTCACGTCAACATGTGTTAGTTTTATTTGTTTATTTTTTTTAATGCAAGGGGAAATGATTCTATCTACAAGAAGCCATGTTTATTTAGAAAACCTAATGATTCCATCAGGAGAAGTGTGCATGATCAAACTTAAAATCCACAAGTCTCGATGACATTTGATTGTGCTGCCCTCACTTTAAAGTCCTCACTTGTCAAGTGAGTAGACCAGTCAAGGGGAGACTCAGTGGTTTTGGTTTCCCATTTCAGAAAATGAAGAGGAGGGAGAGGAGAGTGTATCTATCCCTTTGGAAAGGCTTTCATCTGCAGAGTGATTTGCCTGGCTCATCCTTTCCCAGAGAATAATGCCTTTTTAGGATTATTTCAGCATTCATTTCCCAGTGGCAGAACTGAAGATAGCAGACTAATTCCATTGATTGGCCTCTATCTGAGGTATCTAAGACAGCAAAAACCCTTAGTATTTTCAGCCTATTTTTCATAGTGAGTGATTGCTTTACTAGTGATTGCTTTACTATTTTCAGCAGGTTCACTTAACTCATGGTCAGTCTTCTGGGGGTTAAAACAAAAATAGTAATTTGTGATGCTGAAGCCAGTCACTGGTGGTTATAGAAATGTTACTATGACAATTAGGACCATTGCTGCAGAATACTCTGTAGTGCATTTTTTTGGGTTTAAATAAAGGCTCTATTTCCTGGTGTAAAGGATGATCTGACAGTTTATGAAGAGCACTGTAGTATAGGGAATATCTGAACCATTGTTAAAGCTCTTGGAAGGGTTTCTGGTTAACAGTGATTTGCACAAGAAGCATGTGGTCCATCAGAAACTCTCAGGCTCCTCTTTAAGGTATTCTACTGCTCTTGTCTTAGTTGCTTTCCCTGAAAAAAAAAAAAAACAAAAACCATGGCTTTGATGTTTTATAGCCGCATGAAAATACCTTTTTTTTCCACTTTTTTTTGATACTACATTTTGTTTCTTCATTGCCTCCCCAAACCCCAGCTTGTCAGAATGTGTGAGCAAAACTAACACTGTTTCTGGAGTTACCACTTTGCCACTGATCTTGGTACTGCTGAGAGTCCCAGAGTTGTCTTCTTCCTTTGTGCTGTCTCACTGTTAGTGCAAAATCTGGCAAGTGCCCCTCTTCAGCTCTTGCTGGGATGTGCTTCAGTCATGCTGTTCTTCTTGACCTCCAGATGTTTTGTAATGTACCAAAGTGCTTTATAGTTTTCTCTCTTAACTTATGACTTTTTTTTTATTATTATAATGATCGTCATCAATATTTTATCTTGGTTTCTAATTATTATTTCAGCGACATCTGCCTGAGCAATGTTGTTTTCAAGTCTAGATTCATCCTGTGTGTTGCTGGAATTGTTTCCAAGAAGCCTCAGTGGTGTTTTTAGGCTTGAGACAAAGGGTAGATGATGAAGAGAACAGTGGGGACAATGGAATGAGATATAGTGAGAGTCAGTGGACATGGAACTGAACTGAGGGAAGAACCTAAAATAAAGCAGAATTTGTGAGTGGAGGAGTGAGATTAAAATAAAACATTGTCTTGAAATGCACAAAGCAAAAAAAGATAAATAGGATGCATAAAAAGGCTGGAAAATTCATGTAAAAGGGGGAAATATTTATGCTAGCTGTACAAGAACAGTGTGAAATACAATACCAGAAATTTCAGGCTGAAAAAGTAGAAAAAAAATCTTACTACAAAGATTTAGTGGAGGACCTCATCAAAGGAATTAAATATGTGTGGGTTCAAGCACCTTCCTAGTCCAGTAATTCTTCAGGAGAGGTGTTTCAATGCACATATTTTTCTGGCCTGATGTGAAGCCCTCTGAAGGCTGTGGAGCAGTGTCCATTGTACACAGTGGGCTTTGGGGCCCCTCTGAGCACGTGCTGGAGAAAGCAGCAGAAAAATAATGTATGGAGAACATTCCTGCCATCAGTAAGAAGATGGCTTAGCTGATTTAATAGCTTTTTCTCAGTCTGTGATTCTAACAGCCAGGTTTGTGATATTTATTTTAGTATTCATGTTCTTGCAGTCCTTTTTACATTCCTCTGTTTTTCCCTGGCAGACATCCCGCAGCTCCATAAGTCTGGGGGAAGAGGATGGTTAGCATGTTGTTGCTGTGGGGATTTGAGTCTTAGCTCTCTGTGTTGGTAATGCTGGGCATATAATTTTAAAACTTGCACGCTGTAGAAGCAGATAATTATTTCCCTGCTGCATTTTATACCCTGGTTTGGGAAAGGAATAAATTTCAGAATATTAAAGGAAAGGAAAAGTTCCGGTTTGGGGGACTACTGGAAATGGAAGCAGAAAGAGGGGAGTAATGGGTGTCAGTCTGGTTATCAGTCAAGCTGCAAAGAGACAGCTTGTTCTGTCACACCAAGAGTGTCAGTAGTCAGCCAAGCACTTATGCAGGAGGAAAACCATAGACTGAAAGGTAAGGTTCAAAGACATCTGTGTGTGTTTCTGAAATGAGCTTGAATTAAGCTACTGAGTTCTGCTTACTGAGTCTGTGTGTCACATATCTGATTTCTGCTTAGCACAGGCTATTTGTGTGATTGCTACTTATTTTTATTGCAGGATCTATCCCCTTCCCTTCCCTTCCCAAGCCTTCCCTTCCCAAACCTTCCC